CCACCACGCCCAGCTAATTTTTGTATTTTTAGTAGAGAGGGGTTTCACCATGTTGGCCAGGATGGTCTCAACCTCTTGACCTCGTGATCTGCCCACCTTGGCCTCCCAAAGTGCTGGGATTACAGGCATGAGCCACCATGCCTGGCTGATATTGTAATCTTGTCCTCATGTCCACACTGAGTTGGGGCCCAAGGTGTTTAAGAGTTCTCACTCCATTATGGGAAGCAAGAGGTAACCCTTGTGAACCAGACTTCAACCCCTGGAGGTATTGTTCAGTTCATAGGCAAATATCTTTGCAAGTTTAGTATGTGATACCCCAACAGTGAAATAAATAAGACACAGTGCCCTGGTTCTAGGCATTTGGAGAGGGAAAAGGCATGTTACAGATTCCCCTGGAGAAACTGCAGGCCATTCTCCATCTTCTCAATATGCATTTCCCACTCTTCAGTGACTTTTAATCTCATCCCCTGATCTATGAGAAACCAGAACCCACATGCTACTCAATACGTTTTTATTGTCCCTTCATGAGATAGACTTGGTTCCAAGTATATTTTATTTTCCTTCCTTATGCCTACAAGACATCCAATTTTGTTCAGGTCCCTTTTAATGGCACTTAATAAATATACATTCTGAGACCTGACAGACAGGCTGTCCCATTTCACACTGCCTCTAAAGCGCCTGTTTGAACTAACTAGTGCAGAGCTGAGTTGGGGCACATCCTAGCTTATAGCTCATGGCCATCTCTGGCCCCAGATCCATCTGTCCAATACTGTGTGTCTAGGGTAGAGGTCCCCAGCCCTGGCTGCATATTAGAAGGCCCTGGGAAGCTTTCTGATTTCCTGAGGCCTGAACCACACTCTAAACCAATTTCAACAGAGTCTCTGGGTGAGAGGGAGCCTGGCTTCTGCTAGTTGAAACCTGCCATGGTAAGTTCACTGAGCAGCTACACTGAGAACCCCTGAGCTACAATTCTAGCACACAGTAGGCCCTCAGGAAATATCTGTGGAACCCACGAGTGGGTTTCCTACTTCATTATGTGTTCCCCTATGTTTCTTATTTTTATCAGAAATCTGAGCAGGAAAGAGTAGAGAGAATGAGTCAAGAGCATCCTATGAAGTGACTTTGCTACTGAGAAAGGAACTGTAGGCTGTGTTTCTCTGATATTACGCAGTCTTCATGCTTTGACAGGCCCAGAGGAGGCAACTCACAGTCTGTCTGACACAGACATGTATATATTTCTTAAAAGCCCTTCAAAAACCAGAGCTCACTGCTTAGGCACTATGTTCATAACATAGACATGTTCTTAGAAATATATCTAAACTACCTCCTGTTTGACACATGTTCTAACTGGGGTTGGTTACAAACTTTGTAAGTTGTACAAGATCACACTGGGTCACCTTTTCCCATTTCTGGGAATCTTGCAATTTATCGTTGCCCAGAGCAACAGCCTGGACATGGTAACCCCAAGCAGTGACTGCACCCATCATTGCCCCAGTGGGTCAGTCCTCCTTGAACAGGAACTGTTTTTGAGGGGCTCCAATTTCCAGGTTCTAGAAGCGGGTGGCTCACTTACCAAGTTGAAGTGTCTGGCTACATAGAATGCAGTACTGAGAAGGCCCCCAAGGTAGATCCTGGGTTACAGGAAAGGAAGCCAGGCTGATGAACGAGGTTTGCTGCCACGGGCACGGGCATTGGGGAGGGCTGCATGGCTGGGGCCACCCTGAGATGACTGCTGTCATTTACATTTGTATCACATATCAGCTCACAGGGAGTTCTGCATCCTTAGCCTCATGTCATTTTCAGCACAACCCTGTGAGTTAGGTCTTTCCAGATGGGAACAGTGAAGTTGTGCCCTACATCTAAGTTCCCACAGCCAATTGCATCACATCCACTGCTGCCTCAGGGACCTCAGGGGCAACCCGAAACCTCCAGGGGAATCCCCCTGGCTCCCCTTCTATCCAGAAACAAGAGCAAGCCATTACCTAACCTCCCCACCCACCAGCCCCTTATCACCTCCTTCTCAGAGTTTCCTCTATGATTTGCATAGTCTTTGTTCCCCTAGTCCAGAGAAGACAGCGGCAGTGTTTACCTGCTGCCAACAGCCTCACACTTCCTACCTAACACACCATCAAAATCCCCTCTTCCCTGGAGCAGCTTCTGAATTTGCCTATACACATTCCAGAACTATGACGTGGTCACACCCACTCCCAAGGCCAGTCAAGAGTCTTAGGAACCTGTCTGCTGCACCAATAAATCCATGGCTTCCACACTTCAGAGGGCTCCCAGTGGGTCAGTGCCCAAGATAACTCAGCTCCCAGCATAGAGAAATAAAGCTGACTCGTTGGTTAAGATGTCTCCTGATACCACGTGTAGGTAGCGAACCATCAGACCAGGCAGCTCTGGCTTCTCCAGCACCTGCTTCCTGCAACCACACAGCATGCAGGTAGCATTCTCCTATGTGACTCCCGCCACAGGCAGTCCTGGATGGAGGCACAGGTAAGACTGGCCATAAGTGATGGCGGGTCCTGGCCAATCAGCTGTGACCTGCATCCAAGTGCATTGTGAGTTTAGGTCGGAATGAGTTCCTTATGCAGACACAATGAGCAGTCCTAGCTGGAGCCTCCTGTGCCCCCGCCACACCTCTGTGAGGCCCGCCCACGTCTTCTGGCGGCCTCCTGAGTGCCCCTTCATCCACCCTGGCCTGGTCTTCCCTCCCACCCCCACCTTTCCTTTGCTGCTTCTCCCTCCAGGGTCACCGCCTCTAAGCCTCCCCCATCACTTGGCAATGTGGGCTCCAAGGAGGGTACCCTAAGAGGGCAGGTTCCAGCCCCACAAAACTGGGCTTGGGGTCCTGGCCAGGAAGCCAGAAGGCACATAACCCCTCCGTCCATTCACTTCCACCAGGCTCCACTCCGGGTTCCCCTTCTTGTCCTGGGCCTCCAGGACGGTCACGGGCTGGCCTGCCTGCAGACTCACTTCATGGCTGCTTCTGGCCACAAAAGGGTACGCTGCTATGACCTGAAACACACGGGGAGTGACACAGAAACGGTCAGGGGGAGAAGGCAGACAAACTCCATCCAGAGACGCTGTTCCTTCTGTTCCCATACACCTGCTGGATGCTTACCACCTTCCGAGTACATCCTTTGTGCTAAAGGGAATCACTGCATCTGCTATTCCCACGGCCCATACAATGCGGCTGGCGCTGTCCCAGCGCTCTACCGAGTTTGCGTTTTCACAAAAATTCTATCATTCTATTTGCTCCATTTTTCAGATGAAAATTGAGGCTCAGAGGACTCAAGGAACGTATTCAGAATTGCACAGGAGTGAATCTAGGCCTGCCTGACCTCCAAGCAGATATTTTGGATCCACTGCTGCCACATCACTGAGCAGACTCAGCATCCTCTCCCTCTCCAGATCTAAGGGTTTCAGCTGCTCAGGCCAGTTTCCCAGCTGAAAGTGGAGACAAGAATTTAGGCAACTTGGTTACTTTTGACAGAAAAATATTGAACTGGGCCAGGTGTGGTGGTTCATGCGTGTAATCTCAGCACTTTGGGAAGCTGAGGTGGGCGGATCACCTGAGATCAGGAGTTCAAGACCAGCCTGGCCAACATGGTGAAACCCTGTCTCTACTAAAAATACAAAAACCAGCTGGGCAGGGTGGTGTGCACCTGTAATCCCAGCTACTCAGGAGGCTGAGGTGGGAGGATTGCTCGAGCCCAGGAGGTTGAGGCTGCAGTGAGCCAAGGTCGCACCACTGCACTCCGGCCTTGGCCACAGAGCCAGACACCATCTCAAAAAAAGAGAAAGAAAGAAATTGAACTAGAGAAAACAGTTGGCGAGGAGGGCATTTATTAAGCTAGTGTTTAACCTCTCTGAGACCGTTTGACCATCTGCAAAACGGAGGGGATGGTCCCCTCCCCTTCAGGTCATTGAGAGAATTTCATGAAGGAATACATGTGTAGGGCTTTACACAGTGCCTGGGATGTACATGGCAAGGGCTCAATAAGTGCAGGCTGCTTTGGTTCTTTTTTTTTTTTTTTTTTTTGACTAGGTTTCAGGATCATTACCCAGGGTGGGAGGACTGGGATCATCCCAGGCAAGCCCCACAGAGTCCCAGAGGAAGCAGCTGATATACTTGGGCAGACAGACAGCTGAGCTGACCCAAATGAGCCCCTGGATGGGCATTCCCTGAGACACCACTCACACTGACTGGAGCCCAGCCACAGGGGCAACCTCATCCCTTTCCCCAGAGGGACTGGGGCAGAGGCTGAGCTGGGTGGTCAGGCCCTCCAGTGGGGCCCTGGTGGGTCCTTTGTATTCCCTGGTGTTTTACTTCTGGCTACCACTGGAGAATGCTGGGCCGACAGCCTTCCCAGTGGGTGCAGCAGAAGTTCTGGAGCAGAGGGTCTCCAGACACCTGTGCGGCACTCACACAGCCTGCTGCAGGCTCCTCCAGCTGCCCCGGCCCCAGGCACCCAGGTGTGTCCAGATCCTTTCTGTTGCTCCTGCCTCCCCTGTGGTGCATCCTCCACCACCCCTACTGCTGGTCATTGTGACAGCAGCCTCCACTGAGAGAGGTTCACAATACATGCAGCTTCACTGTCTCATCCCATCCTTTCAACTACCCCGGCCGAGCCTCTTCCCTGCTCCAGGACTCCATCCCTGCAAAGCCGAATCCCTTAATGGCTTCCAGTCACTTTATTTTTTAGATATAATTCACATTCTATAACACTTACCTTTTTAAAGTATACAATTCAGAGGTTTTAAGTATTTTCACACAGGCACATGCAACTATTCCCACTATCTAATTCCAGAACATTTTTATCATCCCAAAAAGAAACCTCATACCAGTTAGCAATCACTCCCCATTCCCTACCTCCCACCCCCAGCCCCTGCCAGACACTCATCTACCTTCTATCTCTATGGGTTTGCCAGTTCTGGACAACCACAGGCATGGGATCCTATTTGTCCTTTCACGTCTGACTTTGTTCACTTAGCAGCATGTGTTCAAGGCTTGTCCGTGCTGCAGCATGTCCTGGTGCTCCATTCCCCTCTAGGGCTGAATAATATTCCATTGTACGAAGAGCTCACATTGTGTTTATCCATTCATGTTGATGGGCTTGTGGATTGTTTCTGCTTTTGGGCTGCTGTGAATAATGCTGCCATGAACATGCATACACATGTTTCCCATTGCTCTTCAGAGACACAGACTGACACCCTTACCAAGGCCACAAAGCCCTGCTGGCCTGTCCCTGCCCACCTCTTCCGTGGCACGACTCTCCAATCTGTCCCCTCTCTTCTCCGGCCACACTGGCTTCATTCAATTCTTCACATACCTCCTGTCCTCTCCCACCGCTGAGCCTTTTCTGCAGAGTTCTTTCCCTCTGCACCCCAGTACACTCTCTTTATCCGATTAATTCTCTCTCTCCCTTCCTGTCTGAGAAAAAGCGCCATTCTTCTCAGCAAAACCTTTCCTGGACCTCTCTGCATCTAGGGCTCTGGGTACTTATCTCTGCTATCAAATTTAACTTCAGTTACTCATGTAGTCATTTTATTAATCACTGTTTTCCTACTTGCAGATTAGAAGTTTGAGGAAAGCAAAGACCATAATTTAGTTTTGTTCATCATTGTATCTCCATCTAGTACAGTGTCTGGCAAATATTGAATAAATGAATGAATGAATGAACGAACAAATGAATGAATGAATCTCACTTGCCCTGCTGATGGGGAATGAGGGGTTACTTTTCTGTGGTTGCTGTGGTAGGGGTGGGAGCCCTTTTCTTCAGGTCCCACTCCTGGCTGGGACACTGGTGTGGCCACTGATCAAGGCCTTGGCCTCACAGAGTGGCAGCCCCACCAGACAGGAGGGGCATAGACTTTGACAGAGACATCTGTGACTCAAGCCACAGTCCAGATGGCCGAGGAGAGGCAAGTCCCCAGCCCTCTCTCGTACTCACCTGGTTCACGGTGGGAATAGAGGGCACTGGAGCTCGAACAGGCTTTGGTGTTAGACATCGGGGGTCTTCATTCAGCCCCGCCTTTCTTCTGAGCTCCTCTGCGCTGGGGACCACATGGTACAGCTGCAGTTTCCCAGCTGGCACATACCCACGATGTCCTAGGGAGCATGCAGAAGGTTAGTGGACTGTGGGCCACCTTCCCACCCCTTTTAATGGTGGAGAAAATCAATGGATGTAAATGTCTCCAACACAGCTTCTCAACACGCAGGAGAACCTGAAAAGGTCATCTAGGAACCCTGAACCCCTTCTGCCTTACACTCACTGTTTCTGGCTTCGGCTAACACACCCCAGTGATAGGGGGCTCATTCCCTACTGGACAGCCCACTCCATTTGATCAACTATGATAGAGATAAAAGTTTGAAACACAATGAAACCCTGTCTCTACTAAAAATACGAAAAATTAGCTGGGTGTGGTGGCGCGCCCCTGTAGTCCCAGCTACTAGGGAGGCTGAGGCAGGAAAATAGCTTGAACCTGGGAGGCAGAGATTGCAGTGAGCCAAGATCGCACCACTGCACTCCAACCTAGGTGACAGAGAGAGACTCCATCTCAAAAAAAAAAAAAAAGTTTCGTCCCTGGACTGGCATGAAAACTGCTCTCCTGATGGAGCTGCCAGATCCCATGTCCCTCTGGTGTCTGCTTAGAGCAAGAGCTGCTTCCTCTCCCCAGGTTCTGCCTTTCCCAGGAGGCAAAGACTGCCTTTCTCCTCTCCACGTGATCCCAGGTCCTTTGTGTGTAGCAACTAGTCCAGTGCTGCTCTGATTGCTGTCATTATAAATGGCTGTCACTTCCCGAGGGCGTGCCAGACTACAGAGCTAGCATTTGGTTACAGAGTCTTCACATCAACTCTTGAGGGCAGCTGGTAATGTTATCATCTCCATTTTATGTTGAACCAGCTGAGCTCAGACAGGCTCCACAACTTCCCTGAGATCACACAGCTGGGAAAGTGGTGGAGCTGGAATCCAAATCCAGTCCTTTTGGCCTTCAGGGCCTTGCTTAATACTCATTCCATTGTTTCCACCTTAAGTCATGGAAGTGCTGTTTCATGGTTTCTGTCCAATTTGTACCATTTTCCTAATTTTTTAATTGACTTGATTTTTAAAACTTCATCTTGTACTATACAATAATAAGATTATAATCATGGAATTACAGACTAGTATATTTTTTCTAATACTCATTAAAATGCTTAAGTAGCCGGGCGCGGTGGCTCATGCCTGCAATCCCAACACTTTGGGAGGCTGAGGTGGGCAGATCACCTGAGGTCGGGAGTTCGAGACCAGCCTGACCAACATGGAGAAACCCCTGTCTCTACTAAAAATACAAAATTAGCCAGGTGTGGTGGTGCATGCCTGTAATCCCAGCTACTCGGGAGGCTGAGGCAGGAGAATCGCTTGAACCCAGGAGGCAGAGGTTGCGATGAGCTGAGATGGCACCACTGCACTCCAGCTTGGGCAATAAGAGCGAAACTTTGTC